GGCGAGGGCAGGGATTGCTATCGCTTTAAATGGTCGTTCGGCTCCCTCTCCTCCTCCTCCCACCCCCTCCCTACCTCCCTCGCTCGCTCGCGCGCTCGCTCACTCTCCAGTCCTCCCCACCCTTCTCAGCGCCGCCCTCCCCACTGGTTTGCATCATCACGCAGGGAGGGGCTGCGTGCTGAGGTAAGGGGGGAAATGGGTGGGAGGCTGGAGAAGGGAAGGTTGCCTCGCCTTGGGGGTTTCGGGGTCTCTAGGGAATCTAGGGATTTTTCAGGACGCGGGAGAGGGCGGAGCTCTTACCCCCAACTCACACTGGAAGCCTCTTTCCAGTTTACACCCACACTCACGTTCGGAGGACCGGTGGCATTAGCCCTAGGATGAGGCGAAATGTCTGGAGCTGACTGTTCCCCATCCCTAGGTCCGGAGCCTTGAGTGCCAGCTCTGGAAAAACGCGAGGGAGTCCGGAGGCGGGATAACCAAGGAAAGGGAGGCACAGGGAGACCCCAGTGTACTCCTGATCCGGTCTGCCTATGCTAGATTTTAACATACAACACACACACACACACACACACACACACACACACACACACACGAGGAGTCTGATTCAAGACGTACACAACCTTTACACAAAGATTTCTCCAGAACCAGGCACTGGGCTGGGCCATAGGGAAGCAGAAACTGTGAAGAAAGGGCATTGCGTCTTTGGTTTTCAGGGATTACTGGTGTCAGAGCTGGCTAAACTGGCAGAAAACTGGGACTCGGTGCTTTTCTTCCATTTGTTACCAGAGATGGAGCGGCTCCGAACTCGGAAGAGCACACTTTCTTCTAGAGCGCTGACAGGTGTAAGGCTCCCTCCTACCTGTTCCAGAGATAATTTTGAGCTGGTGACAGGCTTTTGCGGAAAGAAAACAGCAGGAAAGAGTGATGGTAGGAGGAAGAGGAACACGCAGAAGTCTTCTTGATTAGAAATACCTCTCTCTCGCCCTCTCCCCCTCGCCCCCTCTTTGCTGGGAATTATTGGGGGGCAAAGTCAGGATTTTAAAGAAGATTGCACTGTAATTAGAAAGACCTTCAGCAAAGATGCCCCACGCTGTCAGCCCAAACGTGGCCCATTAAAGCAACAAGTGTCCCTAATTCCTTTATAAAGGAATCTAATGTCGCTCTTCTTTTGGATAGGGATGGACTCAAGGAAGTTAATTCAACTCTTGCTGATGTTTTCAGTTGGAATGCTCCAGGAACACAGTTTTGAGGATGGACAGAGAGAAGGGAGAAAAATCAGAAGGATAGTGTTTTTTATTGATGATGGAAAATTACTATTGCATTTTTTAAGCAAAGGACAGTTAATTTTACTAGCAACTACCTGTGCGCCGTTGGCATTTTTGTTTCTCTGACTGGATTTAAGTTTCCCCATCTGGAAAATGATGAGATTTAATTGGATGCTCTCCGAGTTATCTTCTAACTCTCAAATCCTCTGTTAAAATAGGCCATGCCCCTTTGGCCATTATACCCTTTTTAGGGCAATATTGCCTGTTGTTTTATGTGTAGGAAACCAGCGAAAAGCTATCCAAAGTTTATTACCCACATTTTCTGCTGCAGAGGACTTGTTTTATTTTTTTGTTTCACATCTACTCCCACTTCTGGGGAAAGTTCATCGGTTTCTTTTTGGATGTGCATCATGCTGTGGTTCTGAGAACTGACCTCACTTTCTGTAATTAAATCCTGGATTATCTGATCCTTCAGGTTATAGAGCTGAGTTCAAGGATGAGCCTAGAGCACAACCGCAGCTCTTCGGGGAGGACTCTTGCATTTTTGCTGGGGTAGGCAGGGTGAAGGCCAAAGGTTACCAGGACCGCAGAGGTGTACCTCTGCAGGAACCATAAACGCAGGCCCCTTGCTCAACACATTTTATGTTTCTCTTTTGGAAATTGTTACATTCCCCTAATTTTGTAAAAAAAAAAAAAAAAATTACTGTCATTGTCTGGGGAACCATGCTGTAATTCATAAATAAATCTACTTGTATACATAATGTGTCAGTCACCTTCAGATTTAAGGACTTAGTACAAGAATGCATTTTGTACAACTTTATACCACGATGCTCTTGCCTTTTTCTGCCAAGCCTATAACGGTGAAAGTACTTTATGAACTTCTTCATATTCTATGCCAGTGGCTTTCAGAAGAACAGAAAGATATCTGAATGCCAAACTAATAGAAATATGTAAATAGAGGCACATACACACATACACATTTGGGGTAAAACATTTGAGCTCCTGATTCCAGGTATACTCAAAGAATTGCCCTTGGATTTTTTTCAGCTATTTTTTTTTTCTCTCATTGAGTTTATCAGTACATTTAGGTACACAGTACAGTTACATTCATCTTTGGGATCTTGTACCTTTACATGACAGGTCTTGGTTCTCATTTTTCTGCTGTTATTTAGTTTTTTTCTTTCTGTTGTTTGAAACAAAAAAAGACCCTCCTGTAATTCTCCTGTTTTAACGCATAAGGTTTAAAAGGTGAAATATCTGGTTAAGGTCACATCACCTAATTTTCAAGGAAAAAAAAAGTGATTGAAAGATTGAAGCAACAGAAAGCCATATTTGGGGACATAAATATCCAGATTCTAGTTTGCAAGGGCCAGAATCTCAGGGTGTTTTTGCCAGACTATATACTTCCCTAATTTTTAATTTCAGGATATTTCTTAGGAACTTGGTGACAAAAAGTAGGCAGAGAGGCGAGGAGCCAAGGAATGCCACTTCTTTTCCACTTTCGCTTCACAGCCAGGGCTTGCCCAGTAAGTGTCTCTGGGTGGGCTGCGGAAGGCAGCCTGTTCTGTGTTTTCTCCATACTTTGCTCCTTCTCCCTGCATCTCTGACGGCCGTCACTGTCTGCCTTGCACTGCAGCCATTCTGTGCATGTCTTTTCCCCTTGCCAAGTTGTAAGATCCTTTGGGCTATTATTTATCTTTTCATCTAGGAAAATGCTTTGAATGGTGTTTTGTACCTAAGAATCACTCATGTGTTGAATGAATCAGAACTGGTTTTGTCATCCTGCGCTGCTTTTATTTGACAGTGACCAAGATCTAAAGTGGGCAGAGCAGGAATGCTGGCAGATAAATTGCTGCCCTCTTAGTCACTGTACACAGTTTCTGAAAGTTACAGGATAATTGATGCGTTTTGAAATAAGATTGTTTTAGACAAATTAGTAAGCCTGCAACATTGTAACCTGAAAGCATTTGATCAGCTTTTGTGAAAGCTTCACTTGGTCTTGCCAGAGTCAAGTGCTGACTGCCACCACCACCTCAGTCAACTCTTGGGGTCAATCAGAAGCATGCACCTCTTTTATTAAGCCAGGCACTAGCACCGCATGCACTGCATACAAAGTGACATCTCTCAGAAGAGAAACTGGAAACCGATGCTAAGCATCAGAACCATCACACCTTCGGTACTTACAGTAGCTCATTCTTTACATCTGTATCCATTTAGCCACAGTGCATAGAATCTGGTGTTTCATAAAAAATATATATATATTATATATATATATATATTTTTTAAAGAATATGTACTGTAAATCAAGTCTGACTCTGGTCAAACTGGGCCAGTCTTTATGCTAGTGTCAGGCTTAATTAGAGAAGTATCTAGTTTTAGGCACAAAAATCATACATTATATGTTATAAAGTATGTTCACAGGAGTGGTTCTATGTAGCTATCCATTGATCCTCACTTGGGGGTTAGTAAAAATATCTAACTAAAGTTAACACCTTGGTCTTAACTCATATTTTTACCATTTTGTTTTTCTAATCATCTAATTTTCTTTATTTTCTTCACTGCCTGTTTTTATTATCTCCACTTTACTTGTTTAAGTCTAATTTTAATGCACTTAATTGCTATTTTTCATTGCAACTACTTCTGCCACTGTTGCTAATGCCCTCTGAGTATTCTCTCATTCTTTATGTATGAATTTAGTCATAACTAACCATTATTTCATATTCACATTGCACAACTGAATGGGATCACTTTTCCTAGCAGAGACTATTTCTTCTTATACTTTGCTATCATATTTATTTGTAGTACATACCTAGTGTCATTTAGCTAGCACCCATTCAGCCATATCCTGATCCATTTTTCAAAGAAATTCAACCTTACACAGACAAATTCATACCAGAGTCTGTGAAGTGTGAGATGGAACTGCCAATCTCATCTTTCTTTCCTGTAGTTAATGTAGGAATGCAGGCCAATGACACCTAGAGACAGGTGTGATGAAAATTTCAAGATTCATATTTCCTAGGGTCTTTTCCTCTGGACGACTATGTCTAAATGCAAGACCTGCATTGCTCTAGCACTTCCCCTAGATGCCTGAAGATGAAGCCAACATACAGAGAGGTACCTTCCACCCTGAGATCAAATCAATGTCAGGCATCTGGCTTTTAATCTCTAATTACATAAGCTAAGAAATCTCAATGTTTAGGATGATTTTAGTTCACTATTTTGTTACTTTGAGCCATGTGCATGCTAGTTGTTATTAAAGTATGTATTGATTTAATTCTCCAGATATCTATATTTGACATACATCACTATTACTATTATTTTTATTGATCACTAGATGGAGACCCAGAAAATAATGTTTATTGAAGATCTCCTAAATATCTTCCCCAAAGAGTTAAAGATATCATACGACTTAGTGAGACCTCCATACCCATGTTAACTGAAGCACAATTCATAA